TTTTCCGGGTAGAAGCTCTCATGGAGCTTAAACAATAATTTCTAGGGGATCTTTGGAAAATGTTGAAGACGGTGAAATCTTCGAAACGGCTCGGCTGGTACAAGAACGAGCAGAGCTTATAATCCGTCATAGATAAGTCTGAGATCAAGAACACTCGCAGATCCTTTAGTATGAAGAGTGGGAAAGCTTAGGATTTCAACCGACCTTGTTATGAGGTAATCAATGACGTCGAGGTGAGTTGTGTCATGGCGTAGTTTCTGGAGCTAACTACGTTCATTGGGTATCACAAGGGACAAGTGGGCGTTCTTAGCGCTTTTTATGTGCGAAGTACGAAGCGTCGCTGAAAGAGCAAACCTATCCATGTAAGAAAGGCTAACAGCAAGTGTAATTTGTGTATGCTTAAAATGCAGCTTCTATTTATGCGCCAGCGTCGACTCCTATAAACATGCTGCAGAAAAGCATGGCCGACTGCACCTTAATCAGCCCGCTTGACATAGCTGATGTTGGATAGAAATCACTCATAGAAGGCCGTTCATTGCTCTTTACTTTTGGAGTGAGTTGTTCCGAAAATTGCTAGTACTGCTAAGAAGATTGACTAATGCAATAGTGACGCGTACTTTGTCTGGCGGTCCACAAATATACCTCACGATGTATTCGTTCAGTTTCGTGCAGAACACGGGAGTTCGGATGTGGTCATCGATTTTAAGCGCTTGCAAGCAGTATTCGAGCATATCACGAGCATGGATAAGGGTCGATTATATCTCTTTTTGTTGTGGCTTTTCGAATTATAGTTTGCAGGATGTTTACATAAAGAAGACAATCATAGAAAAGCAGTTCTCTGTCTCGACAGGATATAAGAAGTGGCTTGACCTTACCAAGCACTTGCACAAGTATAGTACAAATCTATGTTGATTTGTCACGAATCCTCACAAATCTTCCTAAAATTGGACTTAAATGGCGCTGGGGAGCAGCAGAATAGACGGTTAGTAAGGTTACGAGCAAAAGAGTATTATTGTTCCGATTCTTGCCCGGCGAATTCGAAGCGGCCACCTCGTGTCGTCTGTGATGCGTTAAACTTTGCTATAGGCTGTGCTTTAGTCCAAGTAGATGTCAATGGGCATGAACGCATCATAGTTTGAGTCTCGCTTACAAAAACGATAGAGAAAGGCTATTTTATTCATGAAAACAGGTAAAGCTGACAGTTCTTCTTTCCTATCAATATTCTAGGTAAAGCATGACATCGCAACCTTTATAAACGTTTGAGCAAATGACCCTTTCGTTGTTACCAACCCTCACTGTTACCGGTGAGAATACAGCCAATCTGTTCCTTGGAAAAAAATCATGCCAACATCGCTTGATGGTGGTAATTGTTGCAAATCATGAACCCCGTATTTCAGCAAAGATGTAGCAAATTTGTTCAAGGGGGTTGGGCACTAATATTATATGCCCGAAGATGGCTTTGTGTACATAGTTGGTCAGGCGACACAGATCGTGTAAAGTGCGTGATGAGGATAAACCCAAAGCACTCACCCGAGGAGGTCACGGTGCTGAGGAGATTCATTAAATTTTTGCAAAGTTACGCTGTACAAGTCTACAAACTGTACTTATTTCTTCATCAATCGTTTAAAAGCCCCCTGATCCGGTCTTGGTGTGGTAGGGTCTGTCGATACGATTTAACTTACTCATTCAGCTAACCATCGCAGCAAATCATATGTTATGTCTAAACTAGATTGGGCGTCATGCGACGAGTAAGCGACGCTATAGATATATTTATATGTATTTTAGATGCGAAATTATAAAATAATAATAATTTATTTAAAATAAAAAAACATGGCAAGGCTGCGTAAAAGCATCATGCGGCTTCCAGAGGAAGGCAAATCATACATGAACATATAGGGGATGAAAAGTTTATTAGAGGCTATTAACCTAAAAGACACATGCAGTGTCTGCAGTCTATGTTGCGAGTTTGCTATAACGGAGTGTTAACGGCTTTAGCCTGTAACCCGATAAGGTTGAGAGCCGCATTCAGTGTCCCGAAAAGAGTGTGCACACATCCTGCGTTCTACGTAGGATTGTAAAAAAACACTTCAATAACTCAAAGTTTAATCCACTAGAATGTGAAGCGCAGTGTTGGAGGTCGAGGAACATCTTAATCATTCATTGTAAAGAAGCTTATTTTTACTCCACAAAAGCGATTCAATTTGGAACCGCATGTTATCCCCTCCATCCCGGATGGCTCTCGTGACCTATCTCGGTTATGGCGGCAGGCTGGATTTCTTCCAAGTGTCTCAGAATGTGGCCGATACTGATATAAGCCAATTATTGATGTACCCTCTGATCTACACCGCTCGATTTATACAGGTGAGATTTACCTTCGCGAAGAGCGAGAAGTAAGCCAGCGGGTTCGTCAGGTCTTTACCCGGTTTGCGGTGATGCGAAAGAGATATTCATATTCTAGAAGCTTGGGGGAGATTGATGATTCATTTCGACAAATTATTCTGGCGCCATTGCCGCTCGAAACTTGTTGTACACTGTTCTGCTACCTTGTTAAAGGCAAAGAAATGCCCTGCGTAACGCGTTTTTTTACCATCGAGCGGGGATTCGCCTTGCTCCAAGCCCGGTAGCTGCACCAGCAGGTTCACGTAGATGAAAAGTATTTTGTAATCAAAACTTGAGGTTTTCAGTTTTCGCATCGACGTTCTCGTCGCGATTCTAATTTTGCGAAGATAAGTATCAAGGACATTAAATCTGACGTCTGTTTCACCGTAACTAGCTTGGAAAGCTGTGAGTCTGGTGAGAAATCATTTTTCCTCACTAAGTGTGCAAAGTGAGTACGACAGTTTGCGGTACTTTCGCCAACTTTGGTACCAAGAATACAGTTCTCAGGGTGATTACAAGCTCATACAGTTGCTGTTGCCTTAGACATAGACGAGGATTTTGAGAAGCAGCGACCTGACGGATTAGAAAGCGCTCATGGGCCAATTCAAAATACTTTCGCTCTCGGAGGGCGCAAAATGTCTGAGCGCTTAGGCATGTAATGGCTCTGCCGCGACGGCGGGTAGCTTTTGATGTCTTAAATCTACATTCATGACGTCATTGAGCCCGCAACAGTGGTTGTGAACTCATACAATTGCTGCTGCCCTAACGGCAGACGATTCTCTTGAGAAGCAGCGACCTGACGGATCAGAAAGTGCTTACGGGACTACTTTAAATGCTTGATGCTCTCTGCGGGCGCAAGATGTATGAGCGCTTAGGCATGCAATGGCTCTGCCGAGGTCGTGGATAGCTGTAGAAATATAGATTCTACTTTCATTACGTCGTTGAGCCCGCAACAGCGATTGCAGATTTTGCGCTTGCAGACAGGCAAGCTCGGCTCGCTCAGCCAGTTCTTACACTGAATAGCAAACTGAGAGTCGTTATGAGCTCTGCGGCGGGTTGTCAAAACGCTCTCCGCTGTGATGACGGGCACAAAGTGTGCAACTCATGCAGAGGCACAGAGAAGTGCAGCAAATATTTTGTCCAAAGAAACGGCTTGCCTTATGGCTCTTGGTGAAGGAATATTTTTATAAGAAAGCAGACTACGTTTGCTTTCTTATAAAATAATCACCTATTCCTTCTAGCTCCGATACTCAATAACGCAAGTTGTACATAATGCATTTTTCTTATAGAAGCTGTTCTCGTTAGTTTATACAACGTGCTCAAAATGCAACGAAAAAAATGCATCATCTACAGACCAGTATCAACATTAAAGTCAATAAATTTTGATTGGTTATTTTGTATAATGTGTTGAAATGATACCATTGCTCTTTATGATCAAATGTGACATATATGGTACAACACAAACTATTATTAAGTGACAATAGAATCCTATTCATTACATAGAGTGAGGCTAGCAGCCTACTATCTCATAATAAAGTCCTATCGTTCTAACAGTTACTGCTTATAAATCCGAGAGGAATAAAATTAATGAGCATGTGAAACAATAAAACCTCCCCAGCAAAATTTGTTTCATACTGTGGTCGTACTTGTTGTATATATACAAATATTGGGCGATTCACGAGAGCCCACTGCTTCCCTGGTTCTTCTCCTTCACTTGCATGTTTCAGCGCCTGCTCATACAAACGTGACTCGCAACGAGAAATCTTTCTTACATGCTTAGCGAGCGGCTAGAAAAAGCGAATTTCTCGCAGCCGACAACCTTAAGGCTGTACTCGGCGAGGCAGCCGAGGTGCTTTCCAACGAGAGCGGTCACAGCAGCTTCCCAAGTCCCGACCCAGTCATAGTATTTGGTCACATGAGAGGCTCTCTGTTCTGATTCTGGGTGGAGCGTATCAATCCATCCTCTGTGCCTTTGCTGGCGCGGTTATTTAGCAAAAAATCTTTCTCTGATAATAGCATTACGACAATCCCGTTCCACATTCATATTGAGCTTCGCTTTAAGTCCCAAGTACAATAGTACGTACCAAGCTAAGAATATGTTTAGTGATTGCACCTTGACGTTCAAGCTCTGGGGTGTTCTTTCCTTCCCCCGGTATCATTCTAAGATGCTCATATTAGTCGCCACAAAGAAACAAGCCAATGACAGTGCCATCAGTACCCCACGTCGTCCTTTGTCGTCAAAAAATACATCATCGAATTCTGAATTGTCAGACAACAAAAATCTCATCGATTACGAAAATTGGAAAGGTTTCTGGTGACAGGTCATCATTTTTCATGTGTGAACTCAATGTATAACAGTGGTGGGCATAGCTTTCAAACTTGTGATTAAATCATTTTTAGCTTCTCCAGCGAGACAAACCATAAGCATCTCCAGGAGTAAACAACGCTAACCGAAGAAATCTTAAATGATTTATCGAGCAACAAGAAACATTCTGAAATATTTGATTATCGCTTTTTGTAGACTTCAGAATTAATTAATACATCAAAATTATTTCTTTTCAAATCAGCTTTATTTTAGTACTTCTAAAACCCCAACTCTTAAACTCATCACCACATCGAACATGGTCGAACGTCTTAATATGGTGAGAGACAAGTGGAACAATTTTGCCGTGCGCTTCACGGAGACGGCAAACAAGCGCATGACTTTGCAATGCTCCCGTCATTTACACTCACATATGCAACTTGATCGTGCTCGTAACATTCTCGAAGTTGCAGCAGGAGCTGGTCTTGGTTCACTTGACGTCGTTCAGTACCTTTTAGATGGTCGGTCCGAGTTATCAAAAGACGTCAAGCGAACATTTTTAGTCACAGACTTATCGCCCGTAATGGTTAATTTAGCCGAAAAGAATTTGAACGGTTCAAGTACAGAATATGTCGAAATTAAGTGCAAGGAAGCAAATTGTACGTACGCTGTTCTAATTTTTTAGATTCTTTCTTGTATATGTGATTCTTCTCATTTTCTTAGGCCAAGAACTAGTCGAAGTAGCAACTGAATCGATCGATCGTTACATTGCAAGCTTATGTCTACAACTTACTCCAGATCCAGATGCTTTGCTTCGTGAAGCAAGCCGCGTATTAACTCCTGATGGTATTGCAGGCTTTACGATTTGGGGATCCCCTGATCGTAGTGGTCACTTTGTCATAACTTCGGCTGCGAATAAAGAATTGGGCTTTGAAGAAAATTCGCATGAACATACAAATTTTATCATGGGAAAAGATCTTATAGCACTACGTCGTCGATTTGACGCTGCTGGCTTCAAATGCGTGCAAATCTGGCCGTTCCAGTGCGTCGTTGAGTTATGGAGCGCTGAAGAATTTGCTAAATTTCAGGAAGACACGTACCCTCTTGACGATCAAGAGCTTAATGCAAAACGATTTGCTATTGTCAAGCGTATGGCTTCGGAATGGCTTGCAGAAGGCAAACCTATAGGTCTGGAAACTTACCTGATTTTAGCCAGAAAGTAGATCAGATCAATCATCATGTTAGATCATAAACTTCAAATGGGAATTCATAATTGGTTTGTACTGATGCTATAAATAAAAATAGTATATAGCACAAACTAATATTGTTTCAGTTGCAATAGTATTGTCTAAAATCAATACATTACCACATATGTATCAATTTCAAAAATAGCAAGATGCATATCAAAGCTAATATTCACGTCTGAATCTTTACATGGCTTCCCGTATCAACGCCGTCCAACGCCACGCTTCAGCGAAATTTCCGATAAGTTACAAGTCTCCAGTAACATCTCACATCCTTGATACTTCACAAGGACGACCGGCTTCTAATGTACTCGTAGAGCTACAACATTATCATTCCGATCATTGGATTCACATCCACGAGGGACGAACAAATGCCGATGGACGTGTTCATAGCCACTTGGTACCGGAAACTCTACACTTTAAAGCTGGAACTTACCGTCTTGTATTTCATGTACAAGAATATTTTCAAAGTCATGGAATTGCCGACTTCTTTTATCCTGAAGTGACAATTGCTTTTATTGTCAAAGACCCAACTCAGCACTATCATGTTCCCTTGCTTCTTAATCCCTTCGGATATTCCACCTACCGTGGCAGCTAAAACAAAGCTTGAGTCATGATGATAAACAATAATAATACAATGTCAAACTTCTTCTATATTGAAGGTGATGACGTCTGTGGATTCAAATCATCAGACTCATCTTTCCGAGCTTCATTCCGTTGTTTCAAGGCTATTTGATACTGCGGTAATCTTGAAAAACCCTTCATCAAGGGTAATTGAAAATCAATCTGAGTGTTCGATTTCGGACGTTCCACAACATGGTTTTGAGGTGGTGATGGCTCTTGGTTATTTACTGCACGTTTTGTATCTAGCGCAGTTATCTTCTTAACGATATTTCCTGAAGATGGCCGAACAAGTGCTGGCAACAACGTTAATGGTCGCTTAAAAGTTGCTGAAAGGTGTCGAGATTCTCGCGGTCTCGATGCTCTGACTGGAGGACATAACGGCTTCGGCAGTAGTTGCTGGTAATATGCCAACTCACTTTTAACCGAGGCTGTATCCTTCTTCACTCGATCCTTTGCAGCGTTAATGAGTTCGTTAAACTCCTCTAGTTCGATCATTACGCTTGCGTCAAATGTGACCATCTTTGGAGCCAACACGTCTGCATTTGGTGACATTCTAGTTGAATACAAAGCTCTGGTCTGAGTAATTCGCCGTCTTCGTAGCGCCATAATCACTGCTTGAGCTTCATGCTGTGACTGAATGGTAGTCAAGATGGGAGGAGGTGAAGATGAGTATTCGATACAATCACGTGTAGACAGTGACGGTCGCGAAAGAAATGACCGACTGTCTCTACGTCGAATGTCAGATTTGTCATTCTCAATCAATGTTTGTCCAGCATGACTATCGACCCCATCAGATTGGTGCCCTTGATTCGAACAAGTTTTCCGCTTGATGTCGTCAAAAAGTCTCAACGGTGGAGATTTTATGTCTGGTAGAGAGGCTGGAAACAGTGTATTTCTTTCTTGATTATATCGAAAAGGCAGTGACGTCTTGCTTTTCCGGGCTTCAAGTCGAATGACAAGCTTACTTAACTTCGTATGAATGACAATTCGGTCTTGAAAGTTGTCCCACACGTAATCACTCTCAGACGCTTTCGGAATAAAAAAATTTACGCGGTATATTTGTGGCTCGTTCAAATATAATATGCTCTCGAATGGAGATAGTGTAGCATCAGCTACTGATAACTCAAACCGATGTGTTGAAAGAGGGGAAACAATTATCGGAATACAAGCATCTTCATGTGAATCATAGTCCGAGTTTCGGCCTCGTTCCAGCGTCAGTGTGAAAATCTGCTCGAAATTTGTCTAGAGATCATTTGTAAATGATGCGGCGTCAGACTCTTATGCATTGAATAACGGCTCAAACGTACCGCCACCTGAGAGTAATTATCAAACTGTACTAGACTTTGCGACGCTCGCAATACGAATTCCTCATCGTTAATCAAGACGAGCGTGGAGATTCCGGCATCATTGATGCAATCCGTCATTGCCGTTTACGATGGAGAAACCCAGAAATGTTGCGGTCATGCTGAAAATAGGTCGATGTAACAGCACTGAGTCGTCTCAGGCGGTGACATATCTCTGCTTGCGTTACAATTGCGACCGTTCTGTTCTCCGCGCGTTCGTAAAATTAATTTTGTTCGATAAATGTTCAATCTTTGAAGCTTAAAACAATGACAGAACGGCATCAAGAAACGCGTTTGTTTCATCATTCGAAACTGTAAGGAACATTACTAAGCGCAATACCGTTGAGACCAACGCATCCTTCTTCAGCCAAGTTGGACAGTCGCCATGAAGCCGATGGTCAGCCTGTCGTAGTGCAGAATAAAATTTGAGGCACGTTTCTAATTGCTCATTCATACCAAAGTGACGTTGATGACCACATGACAGAAAATCCTTCACTTCCGCTCCCTACGCTTTGCATTTGTGCGCAATCGGCTCGACCGGGTCTCAAAGTATTATCTGGTGTATCGCTTTCGACGTGGAGGGAGGACGACAAGATGCTTCGATGTAAGATTTGTGCCAAAAAGTTTGGTCTGCTTCGTCGAAAACATCATTGCCGAGCAGTAAGTTGACATCATTCGTTCTGCATGATCTAAAACTCACGAACTCTTTCGTCTCATAGTGTGGAGACATTTTTTGTCGCCGGTGTCTAGGATTTTACTTGGTAAACATTCCTGAACAAGGCGTTGACATGACGTATACTTGTGATAACTGCGTACTTAAAAACAGAACCAGGATCACTCTAGTAGAGAACGTCAAGTTTCCTTTTCCAAATGAGTCGCATGCTGCACGACTTCGCTTTAGCAGTTCAGTTGATTCCTTATCAAACATGACTACTAGGGACTGCATTCCGTCAACAGCCGCAGTTTCGCCGACCTCTTTTTCTTGGCCGATCGCGCAAGCCATTTCTTTGTCACAGAGTATTCAGAAGTTTGATGTGGTCGTAAGTCAGTACTGTAATGAGAAGTTTCTCTCCGTTTGTTCGCTCCTCGTTAATTATCTTGACTGCGTTGGAGGAGCTATCGTGCTTGTTCAAGACCAGCATCTTTGGGTTGTCGCACACAAAGGACTACATTCTCGCGTGCTCCACGACTCCACATTTCTCTCCATGTGTGATTGTGCAATAAAAACTAAATGCGCTTTTACAATGCCCGACGCAAGTCAACTATCATCATTGCCACTACGCGATCCCTTTACATTTCAATTTTTTGGAGCTTCTCCATTGTTTGATGTTCGTGAGTCAGCTGGTTCAGCTCTTGGTTGTCTGGTGGCGCTCGACACTCGTGTTAAAACTGCAGCTGCCGCATACGAAATGGAAGTTATGCTTGAGAGTCTGGCAGAGCATGTTATGGATCTCTTAGCACAGGATGAGAATATCTTGCGTATTTACGCATCAGGAGATTTTAAATTTTTTGCGGCTTCAAGTGAGACCTTCGCTGCTTCCAGGAGCGAATCATCAACTTGTCTGCATCCATCCCAATCGAGCTACTTTGCGTTGCGTAACGAGTTTGATATTCGAAAAGCTAGCATCAAAACAAATGTAGCAGCTTAAACGAGGTGCTGTAATAGCTGCCTTCTCTACCTTGAATGTCAAAATGAAGCACACCCATACCATTAGTGGCGATGTCTATAGCGTAGTACCTCTGAAAGCAGCAAAAACTCGCAAAGATCAATTGAGTACCCAATATCATTTTCTGACGGTTGTTTAAGTACCAGCCTCGTAAATACTAATATACCTTTAATTACGACACAGCGTAAATGTTCCACATTTACGTTCACTAATCGTACGTCAATGCTCGTAACCCATATCACGTTGATACAGCGCTTTGTCACGCGCAGTGGGGCGGTCGGCCAACCAGTTACCACTGCTTGTTCGCCTTGCAAACTTCTTTTTCTTCTGGACATCTGTTGTCTCGAAGATGGCATCCAAATTGCACGTATCAACAAAATCTTGAAAAATATGGGGCGATGGATCAATGGCATTCTCCCCAAATTGCAAGTGAAGAATCTTGTTTAAATAATCCCTCTGTGCCCATCTTGGCACCTTTTTCTTTTGTTTACGACCTTTTTCCGAGTCGCTACTGTCTGCAGACTCAGCGTTGTCGGACATTTCATAGTTCACGACTTCTGGCGAATGACTTTTTGGAATCTTTCTGGGTACAGGAGACCCCAATGTGGGCTTTGCTGTAGACTTTGTCACAAGTTTTGGCGCCGTCTTCGCTACTGCTGGAACTGGCTGGGATGAAAGGGGCTTCGGGAATGACTGGGACGGCTGAGGTTTTGATATTGGCCTAGATATGGCTTTTTGCACCGTCTTAGAATCCGGCTTTGTAGCAAGTTGCGAAATGTCAGATGCAGTCGCCAGCTCGCGGTTCTTGTGATGTGATGCCACTGCAGCTGACACCTCGGTTTTTTGTGGCATTACTGGATTCGAAGCAAATCGAGACTTCTTTTCGGCTGCAAGCATCGCTCGCTTTTTTTCGAGCCCTGCACGCATCTCTTTGAGCTTCTGTTGACGTCGTTTTGCTAATTCCGCCTCTCGCTTCTTTCGCTCGTTTAAACGGTCTTGTTCTCGCTTGGCTTGAGCGTCCTTTTCAGCCTTTTCCTTAAGAGCAATCGCTTGCTTGTGCTCTTCCATTTTCTTCTTCAAAATAGCCTTGCGAATCTCCTTCTCCAATCGCTTTTTTTCCTCAGCAGCCCGTGATCTCTCCGCAAGCTTGAGAGCATTCACTGTAGGTGCAAGGCGGCTGTTGATGCTTGGTTGGGATAAATCTTTGTCCAAAAGTGACAAAGAGGAGTGCAGTCCTTTACCAGGATGCGAAACTGTTGTTTGCGGATTGTTAAGAGCGGTCGCAGCACCAGATTTTAATGCATTCTCCACAAGTGAAGACTCAGGAATTGACGAAACCGTGGAGGATAATGATTCGGATCGGTTCCATGTCGGCGGCTCGGTTTTTTTCGCACTTTCCGCAGTCTTAGCCATGGTGGCTATTGGCGACAAGATGGAAGACTCAGGCTTTGATTGATGCAGCTCCTGTCTCGACGGCATTTGTTCGCCAAAATAAAGTAGAGAGTCATTCAGAGTTTGTCCAGTCGATGGCATAGACTTTGCCGCTGGCTTATCTGTGAGTCGAGCAGCTGTTATTCGCTCGGCGTGTTGCTTGTCTTCAATAGCAGAATATGTGGATCGTAGGCCTTTGTCTTCATGGTGGGAGGTCTCAGAGATGCTTATCACTTCTTGTCGCAGGTTTTGAGATTGCATTGAATCGTGCTTCTTCTCGTTCCCTTCTCGAGTACTTATGACCGCCGTTAGCTGCACTTGGGAATCTACTTTCGATGCAGAGGCTTTCTGCTCATCATTCGATGGAACGTTACTTTCTGTCGCCGTCAAAACAGAGAGCGGCACTGAATCGGGCACTGTTTTGGTTGATGCCACAGACGTCAAAGCGCTTTTTCTATTATCACCTGCTGAAGAAGCTCGTAGCTTTGCCTTCAGCTGATCACGCTTTGCCCAAAAAGCTTTGCTTGCCTTAGCTTCTTCGAGCCGCTTCTGAGCAGATAACTTCGCAGCAGCTCGAAGCTTCTGTGCCTCACGCTGAACACTTTCATCGAACTCACGCTTTCTTCGTTGCTCTTCTGTTTCTTGTTCTAGCCCAAGCCATGTAGGAGGATCCTTGCATGTTGATGATGTCAAGACAGATGTGACAGGTGTGCTAACGGGTGTCACCTTATGGTCACCATCGCCTGTTTTGAACTCCCATTTCTCTTCTCCTTCTGAAGACGCGTCACTTTTATCATCTAATATCGGCGTATCATCTGGACTGGGCTCTGGCTGACTCGAATCAGTCTGCGAGCTTTCTGCAATCACATTCACCATATTTTTCGCGGCAAAACTAACTTTTCTTGATGTTCTAGGCGCCAACGATGTCGTCTTTCGTAAGATCGACTTCCTTTTCAATGGTAATGGACTCGCCATGTCTCGCTTTTCCCTCATCTGTGTCGAATTTCTCGTTTCTTGATCATCACATGTCATCGAATTTCGAAGTCGCTTTGTAGTGGTATCTTCTGCATCCCGCCTTGTCTGATTTTTTGGTTCCTTGTCATTCTTCATAAAGGTTTTCGGTTGACTCAAATCTTTGATTCGTGCTGCATTCTCAGTTACAGATTGTATCATGTCCAGAGAATTTTTACTGCTATTCCTTGCTGCGACCGCCGATACTTTATCGATTACCTCTTGATCGTCCTTTTCTGTGTCAATAACTTTGTTCTCGTCATCCTTTGCTGTCGCTTTCGGTGATGTTGACTGGCTACGTATCGGATTGTAAGATCCTATGCTTTCTCTCACAATCTCGTCATCGTCGTCTTCAATTACCACAATTCCAGTATTCTCTTCCTGTTCATGGCTTTTATTTTCTCCCTGTTCTTCATCTAGTGCATCTTGCAGTCGACTAAACAGTGCAGCCTTCAGTCCGTTCGTAGGTAGCCCTCGTTTTTTTAACTCTGTTCGTAAATCCACCACTTTAAGTTTTGTTGGGTCTCTTAGCACTCCATCTGAAGGACGAACTCTCTTCCTTCTATTCTTTTCTTCTCCTGTCACGTCCACACTTTCCAATCTCGTTCGCAATCGCGTTGAAAGTCTTGTGTTTATCCTTTTCTGAGCATCAGAAGGCGGTGCAGATTGTTCCTGCTGCGTTTTAATCTTTTGCTTCTTCATGGACGGTTCAGTCGTGTTTTCTGGAGCGCTACAAGGTACAATACAATCAAGTCATGCGCATATAGATGTTAGCCATCATATCAATCGTTCAAAAGAAAATCAGCTTCAACAGACTCAATTTACCTCGGAAAAGGCGCTATAGTTACTGGCGGCTCGGATTCAAAACGCACTTTGACCTTTAACGAGCGTGAAATCTGCGCCAGTTCACTCTGCAACCACAAAACATTGCAAGCGTGTTGACTCTCTACTGCTTTCCAATTCTCGTGCGAAAGGCTTTGCAGATGGCTGCGCACACGAAGCAAAGCATCGCCCATGGCTACCCTCTTGATTGCCTTTCGCGCGGTTTAAATGTTTAAGGAGTTGGAATATTTTCACTCATATTTGACGGCATTTAATTTGCTAGTTAAATGAATTTTAAGGCTTGAAATTTTACTTTTGAAGACTTTTGAAAAAAATGTCCAAGAAATAAATATTTGCTCAATGGTAATTTTAAATTTGTATTTCAGAAAAATCTCACTCTGAAAATTCAAAAAGCGCTTTAAAATATTAATTCTACCCTGTGGCTTGACGATAAAATTGACGACTACACAATGAATATATTTATTGCTTCGTTGTCCTTGTCTATCTGCATGGCGCTAATCTATCGCTAAGAGCTAAAAAATTTTTATTCGCTAATAGATATCGCCTTCGTGCTGCCTCGAAAAAATGCAACATGTGAATAATATGAATGTTGGCTTCTTTTGTACAGTTGAACGCGTGTCTTCGCCTTAGTAATCACTGAATTCACTGATGCATCCAATCCAGTGATGATCGCTATCGCTCCGATATTCGGCGTTGTAAACTTGATGAAGCCCAAACAACAATCGTATAGTTGTTTTCACGAATTTATAGATTATAATCTGCACACTCTAAAAATGCGATCAATTTTTACTCTGCTCCAAACAAGGCTACTTACTTTCTACTGGTAATTGTTCTCAGACTCATTTTATCTTAAGACATAATGTGTCTTGGAAGTTACGTTCATGGCAAGCATTCTGCATTGCTACCTCTTCCCATGAAACATTATCCTAATGGCTAATGCTGTCACCTTATTATCATGTAGAGTTAATCCCAGTTTAGGCTCAAAAGCTATCTTTCAGGGGGAATGCTTGATTCTAAACGTGCTTTCTGGCATATCAAACGTAAAGCTTATATTTTTATGTGGCTTGATGCATCAAACTGCAAGATTATCATCGTGGATACACACAAGTACCCGCGTCTTGGATTATTTACCTAGGATGAGCCTACAGAAACGCAAAGCTCTTATAGTCCCAGAGTCCTGCTTCAACTTTGGTTAATTGTCACAACACTCCTTTACAGAGATAAAGTCACGCTAATGGCAAATCATTAGCAAGATTGATTATCGTTAGAACGACGTGAAATGCTGTACACTGAATTCTCAAATATCAGTGATCATATTTGCTTTATTACACTGTTCTTCTTACAATGAAATCGTTAATATCACTTTTGTGAAATTAAAATAGCAAAATTAGATTGTTTTACTTTAAAAAAAAAATATCAAATAAAAATTGCCTTTTAAACATGCACTGACACTGATACGCGGGACACTCCATGGCTTTGCATGCGACCGCTACTCAATCGCGCAACTATGCAGAGGAGTTGCACCCAATTTTCTCGACAACATCTTGACATATACGAATTTTCCAGCTTTTGCGCAAGTGACCAACACTCTACGGACCAGCCAGCCAACTAGCTGTCGTGCACCCCTCTCGCTCCTAGCTACCACGTGCCCTGCCAGATGTCGTCCACACTTTGTTTTAGTGAAGTGCAGGTACCTGGTGGCAGAGCGCGAATCTCTTGAGGGGAAAGCCGGTCGACCGCGCGAGAGAGAAGCTTACTATTGCCGCGACATAAAGTGCCGAGGCGAGATCGACTCGCTCCAGTTGCCGCATGGGTGTCCCCGCTCCGTCACTTCAGCAAAACATTTCTATCGCGCTCGATCGCGTTCGTGTTCTAGCCATGCACAGCTGCTCTCGCGGCGTTTCTCTCGCTCATTCTTTACAGCCTGTAATCCCCTCATGCCGCCGTGACGCCGAGTCCTTAGGCTCCCTGGTCACAAGACCGCCCGCATGATTTCAAGTGCGCATCCTCCACCTATCGTGTATGTCGTACTCACACAGTTGATAATTACCCGCGATCTCTTGGCAAGGTCGGCATCTGATGCATCGGCATCGCAAAACCCCGGGTCTCCATGTGCCCTAGCTCAATTTTGTTAGGCATAACCCGAATTATGTGGTTTGGTCTTTCTGGTGCGTTCCCAGTCCTAGGTTCCGAAACGCGATTTTCAACATCCAGTCGCTGTGTCATTCAAGCTTTCCAGTATCAAGCACGAATCCGACGAAGCTAAGCAGTCTCAGTACAAGGCCAGGGTCCCAAGCCGTAGGGATAGTATGACGTTCAAGTCTTTGTAGCACATATTAGACTATCAGATCTCACAGTACAGGTTACACCTGAAAGAATTCTTATGCTCTTTACTGATCATATTAAAAAAAATCAAATAAATTATTCCTTTAAATCTTTGTCGACATCGTTCTGGAAGACAAGTCACCTGATGCCGCCATTCGACATTTAAGACACATCGTTCGTTAAGCGGTTTGTTATATATTTGTCTAGTTACGTTTGATTCTGTCCTTAGGCTAAACTTCTCATTTGTTACTGATGCGTACCTGGATTGGCATCGATTCCTGTAGTCGACCTTGCTAGGCTCACTTTTATCACTAATATACTGAATTACGACTTTCGATGAGTATCATTGCCGCTTCTAGTCTACTCAAACCCCAGCATACCTAGCTTCGCAAGCGACTATTGCTGACATGGATTGCTGAAATATTTTATTATGATTTTCTTCTATAATATTCTCACTCTTTTAGTACCGTTCATCATCAATATTGGACAAACCTACATAAAGAGAGAGACCGTGGGGTGATCGTCTGGTGTTAAAGTAAGACACTGTATGCGTGTGTCCACGCTAGATTATATACAGAATTTTGCTTGACATTTCAAAAGGATTAGCTCCTAAGTATTGCTGTAAGCAGATCAGGTTACATTAGTGATATTAAATAAGTAGAATACCACACAAAAGCAAGCTGAGAATTTTGTTTACAAACCTTCGCTGACACACATCATCGCAATAGATTATCAGGCCGCAGAAGATTCTTAAGTCGTACGCTCGTCACCGTATCTACCGAGTGAGCCAAAATCATCCTTGGAAGCGACAATAAATTTTTCGTTGTGAGTTTGTCATGCTCGAGATGCCGGCAAGAATGAAGCAACTGGCGCATGTACAGTCGATGAATTCTTGAAACATCGCAGATATGAGAAGTATATCAGATCCAAAGAAATGAAGAATCTCGTCTGATTGCTCAGAATGTCGCGTTCGAACACCATGCAAAACTGTGGCGGTTCCGCAAGGTTGGGACACGTTGCAAGAGTTTATCAGCAGAAAGTTGTCGCGATTCGTGTATATATATTCTTTACGGACTCGAAATGAAAATTGTATGATGATAGTCAAGTATCTTGATGGGCTGAGCAGTCAGTTGATCGGCTTGACGACTCGTGTTACTGCTACGAAGCCTCCCTGTATAGTATGAGTGGATCTCATCGATTGTAAAGACCTAAAAAAAATCTACTCAGGAGACTTAATCATAAGTGCTGAAAGAGTGCAACCCAAAAAACGGAAAGCAGGATGTGCGCAATGAAAACTGCGTTGTATGGCACAGGGACCGAGAGCGATGAATTTGCAAAGAGAAATGGGTGCAACGCGCGCATGATCAAAGACACGTATTTTGGTCCACAGATGAGGTAAGAAGCTGAACGTCTGAAATGGACTCCCCACATAATATCGCATCGTAAGGATTTTGTGAGTACATCGTTGCTGACTAAAGCATCCGAGTAGAAATGGCTACTGACGCAGAAAATGCATCGTAATGAGAGGGTCGCAAGTTTAAAGAAGTTGATGATGACGAATGATCCCAATGTTCCAGACTCTGTACATTCAAAATTGAATCGACGACATTTTTGGTAAGAGACTTGCTGCATGTAACCTGAGCGTAGATTATTTTAGTCTGTTTAGCTACAATAATTTCAGGATAAGGTATGTTAGGCGTACAAGCTGAATTGTGAAATCGAGGCTGCGGGTTTTGTAAACGATTTGAGCATGGACACTGGTGAGAACTGTAGCTTTTTCGATCGGTTTATTCTTAGTTAGATGCGCAAGTTAGCATACGGCATGTAACGACTGATACCCGACGACAGAGCAACAGTATTAAGTGGTGGATGCACGAGAATAGATCAAATCATAATTCGGTTCAATATCAAAAAAAGGATGTATCGCAGTCGGCACACGCAGACGTGATGGATCCACGAATGTCAAAGTTATAGGATAGAGCATATTGGGATTTCGTTTCTGTGAAAGAGAACTCGATGTGCAAAACAGAAAGCGAGCGACCAATTATGTTCACGGTGTCTGTAACGCTGTAGAAGTCGGTTCAAATTTTACGCGTGGGTAATTGCCTGGAATATCTGAACAAGCCGTCAAACGACAATTGCGAGCTTTAGCGAAATCGACACCAGGAGCATTTGTCGATTGTCGTAAGCAGAATGGGGTGGACGAGCAGATAAACGATGAAATGTTTATCAATTATTGGATTAAGACGGTCAACATGATGATCTACTTGATCGACAAGACAAATATAAAGATTCTTTAGACACATAATACTTTATGAGTTTGATTACACGATCAAAATTTAGCGTTCGGATCTCAAGGCTACGCTGGTATGGACGATGTAAAGTGTATTCAAAAGCCAAAAGCAAAACTTTGAGGTGCTTTTTTGGTTCGCTGACAACAATTAAAGTGAAATGGTGTATGAGTGTGAGACTGCTTAAAATTGACGATAGTGAAGTAAGCGTAATACATAATACCTGCCAGACTTTCAACCCAATGATTGTGTAGTGACAGTGGTGACGATTAGCTTTACGAGGAAAGTGAAGCCTGAAGTCTCGATAGCACCATCCCAGACAACCGCAATTGATAAGTCGATATTGATTGTTGAAGAGTCGGATGGGTAAATCGTAATGCATGAAGGCGCATTAGAGACACTATCGACCAGAGTTGATCTGTCAACTATTTAAATAACGAAAGGACCGAATTAAGTGATGCGATGTCAATCATTCTCTTATGCAGCCAGGTCATCGAATTTAGACTCTTGGAGTCAGCTGGCACAGAATATGCAGATACTATGTTCCACCGGATGATAGCAACTCGAACAACGAAGATCACCTGTGGGCATCATCTCCAAAAAATTCTCGCGCAAGAGATTTGAGCAGTCTAATAGTTTTCATAGTCGAAAACATCTATGCATTTGATGTCAGGTTTAAGGACGCAATTTTGCTCAAATAATGTATGAACAGTCATAATGCGCAAAGATGAATTGAAAAATTGGGAAGTGAAACTTGAGCGTTCGAGTTTGATGGACCACGGCCTTTGGTGACAAAAATTTTGGAAATGTGACCAGTTGGCTGCCGATAAGTCTTCGCCAAGAAGTGAAGCAAGCACTAGTAAGGTGCCACGTTAAAAAGTTGGTCTATCATCAGACACTCGAAGCAGACATTTGGTGTGCGTATTTCTTGACGTAATCGCCAGCAGACAACAAAAGTTGTCATTTTGTCGGGCGGCAGCTGGTACTATTACGTAATGCAGCTGTACGATCATAATGGAGTACTACAGAGTGCAAATAACGTCAATGACAGCATCTGCTGACTTGGCAAGGTCTCGGATTTCCGAAGCTATCCGTAATGACCATGGTCCGCCCGATTGGTGTGCAAAGCCAGGGCAAATAAAATTGGATTTCGTGTAAGAATGTCTTTATGTTGATGGAATGGATTATAGTGGTGAACCAAGCAAAAGCATAGAATAAATCAAATTAGCGCTGGAAAAAGCTCTTAGAATAGACATTTAGGCGAGACCAAGCTCATGAATTAAACATTTTACCTACTAACAAGAATGTTGCGCATGATCAAGCACTCACATCAAATTTTGACGTTGTGAAGCGGTTTAAGTAGCAATGCTCTAAGGTACATAAGATCTGTGCGATTTCGGCTAAAATCTGGTAAATATGTGTTCTTGAACGACTGATGCTAGGTGACAAGATAAGCGCCTTTTAGTGCGTATAGTTTTTATCGGAAGTTTCATCTACACGACCCCATGCACTCGACCAGACGTTGCGATTGTGGTGGTTTAGCTTTCTCGTTTTTTAATAAAATTGACGCAGCAGCACTAGAAGGCCGCGTCTCATGTGATTTCCAAATGAGAAACTATGAGAAAGTTTGGTGCATTAGCTTAAATGTTGCTTTGTACACTGGTGCCGATTAGAGCGGTGTCAGGGATCATGGTTGTAGATAGACACGCCCTTGTTGTTCATAGTCCAAAGAATCATTGCAATGTGGCCCTCAGCTCAGTAACCTGAGTAAATGGCGCAAAGCTTGCAGCGGATAAAAAATTTGGGCTAGGAGTCTGTTCGAAGCTCTTGGATAAGAGCAAGTTAGAGCAACAATTATTTTCGAATGCAATCGTGCTGGCAATGGACAGTGAATTGAATGCCAACAATGCATTTCGAGATCCGCCATCACTTCATTCGAAAAACTTGATTCGAAAAGAAATTGTTGTCCTAAATCTCAGCACAGAAAAAATGACAGCATATATGATGATGAAGCCTTCGGGGGGCGCGAAACTTCAGTTATCTTGAAGTGCAAGCAACGTATACCTCAAGTTAACTTGCATTAACGTCGAGTGAGAGAAGAGGAGTAGAGCCTTATACTCTACGGAAGGTGTGTATTTGTATAGAATCGCGAGCATGATTACGGGTGCTGTGTAACTACTTGTTGAATGAAGTAAATCACGGTAGATTAGCATCGTTCTTAACCGTTATGAATAGGATTTTTAGGTAGCACACGGATAGCGCTATCCATACTGGTAACCACATTCATTCTAATCATCATACTAACGCCCGTCATGACATTTCATCACATACCTCAACTGTTCACACAACAGTTTCAGCAACATTTATATCCAAGTCACTAATAAGCTTACCATTATGTTCTCAATAGCCGTTGTACAATGTCATTTTTATGTGCTTCTTTTTAATCACTAATTATTATGCTTTTGAAGCCGAGTAACCTGACTAGTAAGACTCCAAATGTTCGGCTGCAATCTTTCGGCTATCTTGATGAATCTATCCTTTCGAGCACATGGCATTCAGATTTACAGAATCAATCCGATAGAGCGTTCTGTCAATGCTCTCTGAGAAAGGTACCCTTCAGATTGTTTGTGTACACCAACATCCTTGATGTCAATTGCTGCCATGTTTAGGCAATTTTGTCGATCGAGCTTTGACATGACACCTTTTATGGTGATTCTGTTGTACTACATATGACGGTCATTCACCATAGCGAACTAATGTACTAGTATATTCATGCAACGTCAACCTCCGGGTTGTCCGAAATGTTCAGAATGAACTCTTTGGTATCAGCCGACCAACAGATCGGATTATCTCGTCTGGAATATGAAATTTTCAGTCGCGCATACACTTACGTCTATAGTTCATGCTATCAACTTCGCGTTATTAAATCGGCTTCCTCGTTCAATTTTTCATTCTAGCTCGTTAGGTCACGAAATCGTGTTGAATATGGCACGCTTAGCTAGCGTTCGACGTGTAAGCTCTGTAAGTTTTCAGTTTTATCAAAAGAGTTTCTGCCGTGGCTGATCATTATCAACATGCATATTTTCACTTATCAACTATAAAATCACATTTCTTGTCTGACGCAATCTACCAGATATTTTAACACATCAATATGGAACTACAAAATTTTACTGCTTATATGTCCTCCTACCGCTTATTTGTCGCCTATCGCCGAGAGGAAATCGTCGTATGTTTGGAACTTTCGCTGCAAGAAGGTATTTTGGATCAATTTTAATGCTACCGAAAGTGAAATGTGAAATGCTTACAAAATTGATTCCAGACACTTAAAAACTTGAAGATACGCAGTTTTTAAACATAGTAATTTTCATTTTAACGGATATTATGAGCTGAGTCCGCTATCATTAAGATTTTAGTCTTGCATAATTCCATATCATATTCACCTTCGGCCGGAAGTGAAGCCACCAGCGCGGTCAGTTTTTGCAGACAATGTTTCTTTGCTCGTTATGTTGTGCATAGCACGGTCTTGCTCCAAAAATCTACGGCGGGTTCCTTAACCGCTGACGAAGCTGTCATTCACAAAAGCGACAGTGACACAGTCATTAATCATGTCGCTTTCATTGTCGACAGTCAAAACGATGTATCTACGGTATCGTAGTTGACGAGTGACTGGCTACAAATCATTTATCATCCTCCTGGTTCACCCCTCGGCATGCCCAGTATGAACCAAACCATACGACATTGTGCAGCGGGATTTCCGTACACTTTTGCAGAGGAAGTCTTGACTTTCAGAGCTCGCGTCAACAAACACAGAGAGGTTAAGTTCGTACAAAAAGTAAGTAACACTGTTTTATTTCAAGAATTGATACATCCTGCATATATCTATTTATACAAAAACTTAATATGTTTTATTATTTTTCATAAAAAATTGTCTTATTTTCATAATCAAGAATGATGTCATATTCAGTACTTATGAAGAAATGCAACTTTACGTAGTGTAATATTTAGTACAATTTCACCAATACAAAAGCTCACGGATATTAGTAGTTTGACACAGGTAAACTTGTAATGAAAACTATTATCGGAGAAATTCGTTAGCTCATAATTTTTGCTGTCTATCAAGACCATTATTGTGATCATTACGGTTAACCAAAATAATTGCCAGCTTTGGTCGAGATAACCCAAGGAATCTCTTTCCTGTCATATTTTTTTTCACCATCAAAGTATGAAGCAATTTCAGCTCGAATTAATTCGACAGTCTACCATTCCAACCCATGATTGCCAAAGTCCCTACAGCAAGACGCTACGTGCGGTGACCTGCTTATGTAACCTATGACGATTGTCAGCAAGCGTCTGCATTGTTTTATTATTGGTAAGCTTTAATGACAATGTTTAATGGCAACACAGATTGTATGAAAATGACACTATTGCATCTACCACGTATTAGTTTGTATTCTACTTCAATGAGCAGTAGAAGTTACTAGCTTGTTATAGTGATGTTTCAGCTCATAAGAACCGAGTCGTTGTATTCTTTTGTTCCGACGACCGTTTGAAATGGCAGCCTGAAACTGGGTAAATCAACCCTGTCGGAAACGTAATTTTACGCCATTATTGTTATCAAGTACAAAAGCAAAAATATTTACAGTGCAAAAAAATATTATTTTGGTATTTATTGGTCATAACGAGCAGCTGCTTCACGTCTAATTTTGATCGTTGTATAAAAACGCGGTTAAGATACCGTTGCTAAATTTCGCAAACTGGCCTATCATCATCATAATAAATACATGATTTGCAAGGACCTCTGCGATCGTATATTTACATTAATAATGCCGACATTCTCGAATTTGCTTAAAAGAAGACACAAGGAAGTCTACAACTAATATGTGCATGAAAGTTGAGTGTACGACCTGCAGTAAAGCCACTTGGAAAGGATGCGGCCAGCACATCGATGTTGCGCTTGCTGGCGTCAAGGAAGAGGATCGTTGTCCTAATTGGAAGATCGGCAAGCACTAATCATGACTACGCAACGTTCAAGAGTTTGGTATATCAACAGACTATCAAACACGTTATTGTTGACACTCGTAATTCTTTGATACTTGATTAATAGTTTATCTGAAAAATTTAGGAGAAGTTTTGTTAACTTTACGAATCGTCATACCTAAATAAAACATTTTAAGCACCTGCATACTCTAATTTGTTCAATACTATTGAGTTTGCGTCGATCTTCACACGGTCATTGCGATCATATTTACTTGACTTTCTACCTACAATGTCCAAGATCTTCATTCAATCGTCAGATAATTGGCACTGGAGCTTCATGCAGAAGCTGGTTCATTTGTCGGTGTATTCGATACATTTACAATCGGAAATGTCGACGACTCCAAAACAACAGGCAAAGCTGCATCCACTTCTCTATTATAATTTCTCAATGTTCTAGATGCTCGTTTTGATCTTGGTTTGCCCATATCAACGCTGCATTTGAGCTTCATCACGGGTGAAGGGGTACACACACTGAATGAAGGCGTTTGTCCGGTTCCACTATGAGGTGTAACACTCAGTCTTCTTCTAGCTCTCCCTGTAGCTTTCAATTTATGTTCTTTCGTAACCAACTTGAGCCTTGTTTCTGCTTTTGGTTTCTTGTTAGGCGTTTTCAAAGACGTTGGTGTAGACTCTTCCACGGCATGTAATTTGCTAATTCTCTTGCAAAAAAGCACTTCATCGTGCTCTTTTGGGTCAAAATAGATACCAACAATTCCACTGTCATTCGCGACTCGAATATTAACCACATCATCGTCTACGAGCACAGTATCTCGATTACAAATGACAATTTGATCATTCGAACGATTTTGAATCTCAAGAGCTGCGGAAATGACAAATGGAAGTTTAAATTTTCGATCCAAATGACGACCATTTGTTTGCCAAAGTGGTAGAAAAGACCCAGTTTGGTCATGGGTCAAAGTCCATGCACGATCATCTCCTCGGACCACGACCTGAGCTACAATCTCTGGACTAAAACACAGCTGAAGTACATTTTGAATCAGCTGCACTTGTGGACTAAATGTTACAATTGCTACATTCACACCAATTTCACAGAGTAATGGCACTAGCAGCTCGAAAAACCGCCGTACATGGGAACGCAATGCCGCTGCTGTCCCAGACCACAATCCGCCCGTGTGAACAGTCACAAATGTGGCATCAAAGTCAATGCAGACTAGTTTTGCACCCGCAGATTTAAGTCCTAAAGCGGCTTCTAATGCATGACTTTCTGCTGGATCCAAGCTCGGCTGGCACCCGGACGCCATGCCCAGTACTTTACCAGACGGTTACACACAATAACTTTTAAATTTTAGAGGGAAATATTTTGATTCGTTGATGGCGCTTTATTTTAAATCTGACCTTCAACAATTGCTTTGTATTTCGTACACCTTGTGATCTGACAACATTCATAATCTAGATTTGTAAATTAAGAAATTAAGATTATAAGAATTCGCAAGCCATGTTATGATTTTTTGACTGAAAATAAATTAACTCACTTTAGTTCTCATTTTTGAGAGTTCGGATAGCTATGTATCACACACTACAAAACATTTTTTTGTTGATTCATGTCAATAACGTAAGCATACTAACCTTTTATAAGCCGAGCAACTTTTTTTCGTGAATTTGCATAGTTTTAATAAAAAAGCATCGAGCAAGGTTAAGTGATATGAAATTATCACGCCTAGAAACCGTTGATTGCAGAAAGTGACCTTAAAGTCGACTGTTATTTGCGATGAGGTTGTGTCCACAAGTAGCTTTTGGAGACTTATCTTAACATCGAAGACTTAATGTTCACATGCACATAGTGCTTGTTTAACAAAGCTAAATTTTTGCTATCTGCAGCATTGTGATGTGGTACATACGAGTATTAGGCAGTCAAAGCAGCAAGCCTGTATCATGAAGACGGATGGGATCTTAATGTTATATCGAAGTGCACACAGTATGTAACGGGATTACACATACCCTGGTAACAGGGGGGGGTGTCATACCAGATGGGTATAATGTGACCACACCCAAACAAGAATACGGTACGGGGCTGGATAGCCAGTAGTTATACAT